CCGTTTACCGATGACTGTTTAAGGCAGGCAGACGTGGCCCAGACACAAAGACAAGCTCTGTCTTACCGTCGGCGCTGATTTCTTCCCAAACCGTCCACGAACCGCCACCATAGCTGACCTTTTCTTCAATGCAGCATTGTGCAAAGCATCTCTTCTGTAGACCTTGTCCCTTCCGTCGTTACCATACAGCATAATTTTACACTCATTAGAAAAGAGGAATTTGTTCCATTGGAGGCATGACCAGATGATCACGTGCAAAGTTAAAGTACTTCGATGTTCTGTAGTTAATTTCGACCCATTTGCTGGCTCGTGCGGTACCAGTCCACGTTCCTTCAACCTCCTTTTTATTGTAGATTTACTACATGAAGCTGCTGCTGCAGTTGAAAAGCATCAAGGCGTCGATTTCGCAAAGAAGTTGTCACAATAAATCGATCATCTAGTTCAGAACTGACCCGATTCCTGCTAGAACCTGAACGGCGCGTGAACAAACCAGTCTTACGATAGCGTTTGTAGACTCCTTAAACAGACGACTGGCTTAGATGCCATCTTTCAGCACCAACATGCTGCCTAAGTCCAGAATCCAGCAATGCCACCACTTGGGCGGCTTCTGGGCCCGAAGTATCCTTATGTTTTACAAAAAAAATTGTTTCAGACGTCCCAAAGTCACATAACACAAGTTTTAACGTAAATGCTAATTTAAAGCTGAAATGTACTCCAACTCTAAAGACACATTTGTCCCAAAACAGTGAATCATTTCATTTATAGGATAAAGAAATGAAATCCTAATTTTGAATTTTCGCTAATCACTGTAATGGCCAAATTGCCAGCTATACAATCATGTGATTTTTTTCATGGAATGAAAACTCTTTTCTGTTAAATTAGGACAGAAAGAGAAGTGTATATATAGTAACTAACACGTTTTTGTTTCAATCCTTTCGTTTACTTACTCTTTGACGCCCTACCTTGTAGCACAAGACAACAAAAACAAACTATACAGGGCCGGATTTAGGAGAGGGCAACCGGGGCCTCCACAAAAGAGGGGCAATAGACTGGAAAAAAAATCAAATTCCAACTAAAAAACAACTTTTCCTTTCATATTTTTTTCGCATTTACCTTTACATACTGTACATGTATAAACATGATTACATTAAATATGAGCATTGAAAGTGATTTGCTTCGGGAACTGGATTTCAGGGAAATCATCAACGATTTTTCGGCGAATGTTCCGTTCGTTAACGCTAAAATTTAATTTTAGATAATTCTTGTTTCCGATTATATTTATATGTACGTTAAGTAATAAAAGAATTTATATTTGATTTCACAATAAATTATTTACTGGACTACTCAACTGAAAAAAATTGTTCATTTTATTTGGAAAATAATGCGGGGCCAAGGCGCCTCCACTCCTTTGTTGACCCGAGTCCTCCAGACCTCTAAATCCGGCCCTGAAACTATATAGTAAGATTTGGTTACCAATTAAACTAAGTTGTAGTTAAGAGTGAAGGTTGGCCATAATGATGTTGTAACTTAACATCTTAGAGCTGTTCGTTTATCTACAATTTAGAAGATTTTGTTAGCTTTAACTCGATTTTGTTGCATTTTTTCAGTTTTATACATGGATGTATACTAATCTAAACTAAAAATATGTTTTATATACTTTTTCCCAAGTTCCGGATGATACATCAGTATATAATTCATATCATACCTAGTCGAAAATGCTTCATTTTTCATTTTAGTAATAATCTTCAAGTAACTAAAAATGAGGTGGCATCTCATTGTATAGGCGATGACAGCAGCAATGAAAATGCATTACCATAACTAATTCGGAATCTAACTTACGTCAACTGCAAGTGACATTGCACAGAAATCTACAGCAAGTCTTCCTAGTTGCATCACATTCCATTTTGATTTTGAAGGGTCGAAAACCTCCAAATTGTTTGCACTAAATGAGACGGGTCCAGGTTAATAAATGACTGACACCAACCCAGAACACCCTGACAAAACAGGCGTCAGGGCGCAGTTCCATTCGTAAACTTTAACGCCCTGTTTTTGGGTGCAACCTTACATCACTTAATTTAATAATCTTCTGACTAGACACAATCATATTACGTCAACATATGACTAATTTCAATCATTAAGAGATGCTATTGATTATATCTTTGGATTAGTATTTATGCTATTTATGATAAACGTTACTAGTCGCTTTAGAGTAACTGACCAATGGAAAGGATAAAAGTGAAATTCTTGGGTAGGAAGACCATACGTATCAGAAAAGTTGTTAAGCGAGCAGGCGGTTCAGTTGATGTTAAGTGAATACCACCGCCCATGGACATCTGCTACACCCAAAGGTTTGAAGATGCGTTGACAACCTTTTTGTAAATTTGCCTCCGGCTACCTCACTCACCAGACGAAACGCAAAAGTTCTTGCACTTCCCGCCGGCTTACCAGATTTATATTTTATTTGTAAGTGATTTTATTTGTAAATCTTCTGAAAAATAAATTTCTTAAACCGTGACTGTAGATTTTTAAAATCAAAAAGATAGTAAAATCAAAGATTATCGAGGACAAAAATATTACGATAAGCATAAAACTTTGCAGTTTAATAGCATATGAGAATAAATAAGTCCGTAGAAAAGATTCCCTTTTTGCACATTTGTAAATTTCATTGCCAAGTGCACTGCAAAATGCTGTATAGAAGCACAGATTTTCTACAACTTTGTTGAAGGCCTTTATTTGATTTTACCCGCTTCAATATAGAGATGGTGTCTTTTTTCAGTCGAAAGCACTAAAAGATTATTGTTAAAAATTTCCAGTTCCTAGAATGATAATACCAGCCACTAACTAGTAATAGTTTCGTAATGGATAATGTACTGTCCACATTATCAAAATACACAGAAACTTATCATCAAATAACTGTATATTCATAACACTGACACAATAAATCTTGAAAAATCTCCAATTGTTCATTTCCAACGCGCACATTGTATGAAGTAAAAAAGTTAAAGTTAAAGAAGATAAAAAAGAAAAAAAGATAAAGAAACAGACGGATTTAGAGGCTTTTTCGTAATATTTTTCTTTCTTTATTTATATGAACAGCGATTGAAAAGGTGTTTCATAATCTTTCACATTTACGCGCGGGTGCACACACAGATGCATGTGTGTGCATGCACTTCGTTAGCTTGGGGTGGAAACTCGTGGAAACTAGCTTTTCCACGGAACTTTTCTCCGGTCTCTAAGCGTTCAAGCTAACTTCATCGATTCATCTCCGATTATAAACATAGTTTAAGATATAAGAAACAAAACAATCACAAAACTAATTAGCTTGATTGATTAAGGAATTCATTGTAAATTATCCAATTGAAGAGCACCACGGAACACAATAACTTCATTCCGCGGACATAAAAGGGCAAATTTATCGTATTTATAAAGTAAATTGTTCACAATAATGTGGCTTGAGCGTATTAAATGAAAGAGGAGAATGAAATGAAAATATCTCAAAGCAATTATTTAAGTTTCTTAACGTCATATTTCATTTGTTCATTCGTAATTTTTACCCACAATCAATTGAAGGTAAAAAAAACAATGATAGTTAATAATAGAATTGATTACTCATGACCATACTGTGTAGCGTTTAAAACTTGTTCTGCAATACATAATATGACATAATTATATAAGTGAATGTGAAAGAGTTTGTAGAACTTACGACACGGAGAGAGATAGTAGTCACTGATGTTTAAAAATATAGATGACGTATGTCCATACTGCGTGGAGTTTAAAAATTTTTCCGATTTACATTATAATTATGACATATACTAGCGGACCGGAATGACGTCGGCATGTACACAAGACTTAAATCCAAAAACGACTTATAAATAAAAAAAAATTAAAAAATGTGGACCGAATTGTGAATCTAAACCATTCTCGACTAAACCATTATCTAAACCATTATCGACCTGAAGACACACAAAATTTCATTAAAATCGGTCCAGCCGTTTAGGAGGAGTTCAGTGAAATACACACGTACAGAATAATTATATATATAAAAGAAGTATGATACGGAAAGGGATAGAAGTCTATAGAATTGCAATCTAATTACACCAATGGGTAATTTGAGTTTAGCAGTTTCGGTTCGCTAGTATCATAATTATCTACCTCGTGTTTGTATATAATATCTTTGGCTAAAACCTATTTTGTATACAACAAAACGTAATCGAAGCCGACCTGCACTCTAGATAAATATTTGTTTTGAACATTCGTTACAGTTAACATCTAAAATACAATGAAAGGCGAAGTTAGGATGTCTGTAAAGAATAACACACTAATTTGACAATAGATGACATTGACTTCGATTTAGACATTGTTTTTAAATTGTAACAGTTATTTGACCAACTGATTTTTCAAGCTGATGAAAAAATAAAACAGACATAGATTTCATTAAAAAAACTGTGAACCGCTAAATTTTGAATTCATAAAAAGTAGGTAAAACAAGTGGGCACATATTTTAAGAAGCAATTTAGAATTTTCTGATATACGTAGAACGACATATTTATTTCTTTTTATCAAAACTCCAGACAGTTAAGAGGCTTATACGTTAAAGAGTCGTACATCTATAACTTGACTTTATACGCCATACAATTAATTCTCGGAAATAATTACAAAGCTAGCACTTTTGTTCGCAAATGTGCCGTGATTTTGCTGAAAAATAAGTTGTCATTTCCAAGTACCGTCAAAAATAACATCTAATACAAAAATTCTTCTCTGTTTACGTAATCTGGAAAGTGATTCGCTACTGGTTGCCTCGAATTAAGGCCTATTAAGGTAATAAAATGCTCGGATCAACTCTCTAAACACAAATGCATATATACCATATGGCTTTGTTCGATCCGCGTGTTTCGTAAATACTAAACATGTGCAGTTTTATAAACTGGCCCGCACTAAAGTCGATAAGGCACGTAATAGTAGCAGTATTCATTCGGCTGTTTATAATCATTTGTAACGCAATGTTCAAGACCAACGTTCTCTTCACAATTCTACTGCTGAGCTTTTGCTCTAACGCCGTAAGTTATGTTTATACAGTATTCTGTTAGTTTAGCTGAACACAAAAACCGTTAATGTGTTGTATTAATATAATTGATGGCTGTTGCTAGTGTCAAATATCAATTTATGAAAACATTGATGGAACAGGACGCGAAAAATAATAAAGATCCTTAGAATGTACTAATTTTTGTTATTTTTCTTTAAATAAGTGAAACATTTTTGGCTTTTAAATGTTGAAAAACGTGATACAGGCCTGTCACTAAATGTTGCTTGCGTTGTTGCATTTTGGACAGTTAAGTACGAATTGAACAGCCACTGTTTTTTTTTTACATCCGTGACATCAGGCACTTGTTAAGCTAAAGTAAACGCGCTAAATATTCAACTCATTTGCGGTTATAGTAAAACACTGATATAGTTTTAGTTACTTTACTGTTACATAAAATAAACTAATAGAGCGTTGATAGCTCAGTGTCCGGGCGTTCGCCTTTAATTAAATTTACTCGAGCAACCTGAGTTCGATCCCCGGTGCCAGCACCAATGAAGTTGTTAATTTTAAGTGCTATGCTCGTATATGTGCTCGGCGGTAAAGGAAAACATCCTAAACCAGCATATTTTCGAAATATTTCGAAAATATGTGAAGTCCCTGATACCCTCTGTACAGAGGAAGCCTGTGCCCGGCAGTGGGACATTCATAGGCTATTACTATACTTTACTTTTTTTACTAATTATTAATAATTAATACTTAAAATCAATATTCCTTTTACTCCTCCCATTGACTGACTATTAAAACTTCCTGAGATAAATAGAATATTTTGCAAAAAGTGTGTTATAAATTTTACTTTTACACCATCTCGTCATAACTTATAAATAAATCCATAGTGCATTATATAAAATACCGAGTTACATAATTCGCTTTGTCGCTTCTTTAACACGAGCTCGGGGTTATTGCGACGTATTAAATTCCAGGAGTTTAAAAATACAAGCGGAGTTAACTTAATACGGCATCTTTAGAATCTCTAAGAAATAAAACCTCTTTGACTTTTCACCTCTAAAGTTTCGCAATCCCCGTGTAAGGAGATCGTTGCGCTGCAATTTTAACAAGATAATTTGACACCCGCAGACGCTGAAAGAAATGAAGAATAAAAACCTAACATTTCCATCTTAGCCCGGAGACAAATAGCTATGTATTGGCTGGTGTTTTCTCGTTGAATCTGATGGCTTTTCACTTTTTTAAATAGTCAAGGCGGCTCCAGATACGTGAGCAAATGATTGTAACGTTTAATTTTACTGTTAATGATTTAAGAAGTAAAAGTAATCTTGACATATACTGCTCTTAATAACATAATTATTGTTATGAAATCTTAGTTCATCACACAAATAATATCGAGTCTTTGAACCCTGACCTAAACTTTAAATCAACCCGACTTGTCGAAACCCAAACTTACATATGGCAAGCCATCACTTTACGTACATGGCATAACACTGCTAGACACAGAACACTAAGCGTAAGAAAGTGCATTGCGCGCTGTATTAACGGCACTTCCTAGGATCTATTGTCACGGAGATTTTATATATTCATTTAAGTATATAAATATCTTCATTCTAAGTGATACTTTTTGATGATACGACTAGTTTAACAATTAGATAATATAAAGGTACAGTTATAAACGATGAATACCAACTTTTTTAATTTCTTTCGTATATTAGTAACGTTAATGTCCTTTTTTTTTCAATTATTGAGCTACGTAATTACAAAGCAAATACTACCAAACATTACGTGATATGTTGCGCGAAATAAAGATTTCATTCTCAGGTGCATGCGACAACGCATTAGTAAGTGATACTTCGAAAGGCACTACGGTCTCTTTCTATACCCTCCCGTTACGACACTACGGTGCACTCTTTGATAGAATTTTTGTCAGCGCTAACACATTTTCACGAACTGACTAGTATGTTTTATTGGCATCCGAAACCACTCACCGGCTTATTTGCTGACAGCTGATGTAATTGACCCAGCCCTTTATGTCCATTTACCCGTTCCCGGAGAAATTAAACTGAACCATGATCATCGTAATTGATTCTGGAGGTATTGCTGTTTCCGATATTTTACAAAAGAGATGTTTGATACCTTTCTGATTTATATATATCATTAACCTTACGAAAAACTACAGCACTATATAATAATATAAAACAGTGTGTTATCGATTATTGTATTCGCAAAAATGATGTATTATTAGAATATTTTACGACATGATATTTTAGATTTAATATTTTCTTAGAAAATGACGTAAATAAATTCACACCATTAATTGTCTGTGAATATTATTATTTAAGATAAATAAATGTAAATAAGAAGGGAAAAGCTGCATAGTTGAGACAAAAACAAAAACTTAAGTTCATGGATCGCAATTAAAACTTTTACTTTTACGATATTTGATCGACGCAAGTTTTAATAAAGGGATATAATGTACAACGGCTTAGTTAAAACGATATTACAGAACAGTTTTTGCTTACTTATAGTTAGATTTTCTTGGAGAGTATAATAACTTTGTAAACTTAATGCAAAAAGAAGAAGAAATCCATATATAAAGGTGGGTTTGCTATTTGAAACTACAGGAATTAATGAGTCCTAGATCCCACCCATGTCATTTTATAAATATACAAACTTTCTTTTAACATGTGCTATACGAACCTTCGCAATTTATTGAAGTTTTACTTATTTCGGCGCGTTTGGAAAAAATTATGAGAGTAAAATTTTTGCAATGCGCGCGAACACTGCCGTCTAAAAAGCGACATAATGAAGTTAGTTGCAAGTAGTTAGTTAAATATCAATATATTTACCTATAATTCCAAGACATTTAATGAAACCGCATTATCAATTGCATTTATTTTTAATTACACACACACACACACACACACACCTCTTTTGTTTTTCTTTTGTTACGTTAAAGAAGTATAACTTCTCACGTCGCACGTAAGTTCGTACATACTTTTTACGGCAAACAACTCTCTGAATTATTACATACACAGAAGCGTTACCCTCAAACCCAAGGCTTCCGTGTTGTTAAATATTTTACACTGGCGTTTCTCAGGGTAAATTAGAGAGAGCGCTTTTTGCTCAAGGAAGCTCGTTCACACGTTCCATTCAAATAAACGTAGGTGATTAGAAAGAGTTCTGAAGTCTCACTTTAGAGGGACGACCACAATGTGGCTACTTTGAAGTTCTCTTTAAAAGCACCGCAGTTTGGCCCAAACCTTTAAAGTTCCCCGGTAATAGAGAGACGGGACGCACTCAAAGGAAAGCTACCAAATGCTCCCAACAGTTTGCTGAAGAATTTTACTGGAAAAACCCTTATATTAACTCGCTACTCGCGCTCAATTCTCCCTAAGTTAATAGTTGCCATTTGAAAATGTTATTCTTGTAAATTGAAATGGCTTGTGCAATTACATTTCTCTCCTCAAGATGTTGCAACGGCAAGTTTTATTGAACCTCAACATTTGCCACGAGTTATTCTGCTGATTCGTTTACGTAATGTAAACGTTGAAGAAATTAATTCGGATACGACAACGATAAACAAAACAATTATTCCAAGTGTTTCATAAGAAGATAGATAGCTGCAGAGATCGACGTGGAAAATAGCATAAAATAATTAGTTTTTTTTTTAAATAGTATAAAATAAGTTTCTTTTTTAAAATGCCTTTTGTGCAAAATCTCGCCAGAGTTTTACCACTATCACTACCACCCTATCGGATGCCACGCCGCGCGCTTCGCCCACGTTCTTGCTAGAGTGTGGAAAATTCATTAGAATTCCACATCTCGATAAGTTGGTCTAATAAATACCTAATTGTTGCATAATTAACAAAAATAATCATATACATAATCAATAAATCTCTCTTAATATTTCTAAATTGTCACAGTTGAACTGAGATCGTGGAAAATTTAATGTGGGCTTCGAAAACCTTCCAACGATTTGAATGGACACGTATTGTTTATCATTAAAATGAAAAGACTGTCAAAAAGATTATTGAACGTTAAAAACTAAAAATTAAAATTAAATTTTAGACCAAAATGAATCAAAATATCGCATAACATATAGATAGGTAGATTAAAAATGATACTAGGATTTTAATTCAATAGGTTCGATGAAAAAACAATTCGTTGGTTTCATGTATAACTTTCATTTTCATTTCCGTTCTTTATTATTTTTAAAGGTCCGTTCAAATAAACGGCTTAAGAAACGATCACACAACACTGCATTCTTTTTTACGTAGCTTTATATGGACAATGCAGTACAGTACGTGATATAAAAAGTCTTAACACTATCTCAAAAAAGGATAAATAAATGTGTAGACTTAATTCGCTAGATTTAATACATTACTTCTGATAGAAAACATTTTAACGCCGGACTTCTGTGTACATACATACGTATTAGTGTCCACAGTATAAATAAATTCGAACAACACGTCTTCCGTTTTCAATCTTCCATTAAGCTGTTATCTTTATTGTTTATTTTCAGATATGCAAAATAGTCCTGCCTCACAAATTGCGTTACCTTGAGAACATGCTAAACGCAGAAGTAATAGCAAAAGCAGCGAAGCTGCGACAAAGAATGGAGGCTAATCCAAACGTTCCAGACAGCGATAAAAGTTGGCCTTTGCTACTAGCTAAATATCAAGCAGACGAACAGCATAAGAACTTACCGTCATTTTCCTACCAGAATATTTACGGGAGGCGAATTCCTAATTTAAAGTAGTGCCGAGAAGAAATAAATCCATTATTTAATACTTAATCTTTCAATTCATTTACATTTATAATAAAACGGACCTAAAAAAAAAAGACACTTCGAAAATAAACATTTTGTCCAATCTAAAATTTACTTGCAAGTCCTTTGATTAATTCCCTTGAAAAATCCTTCTAGCTTCTTTTCAGTTCTACGGGTAAAACTATATTGGATGTCTTACGGTCAATTTGAAACAACATACGCTCAAGTTAGATTTCTTTTTTTTTATTTAACACTAAAATAGCATAATTATTAATATCTCAAAACAGCTGAATAGGAGTACTCAAATTCAACGGTTATTCAAAAATGATTATGACTGGTAAATAGTTGATATTCCAAAATGGCGCACGATTTTCACGGCAATTTTGAGTCACGAAAGAACGCATAGTGATCACTTCATATCGGGTAAACCGTGCTCGTTCATCTCGTTCTCTATAAAATTATAGCAAAGGTACCGGGAGGCTCACTAGTTCTGTCTAAGTTCCTTCGCTAATAGAAAATTAAGACTAAAGGATATGTATAACAACAAAGTCGATGACTCCGTAGCGCAAGTGCCAAGGTATTGGCTTCGGCGTCGGGGGTCGTGGGTTCGTTTCCCACACGGGACAACTATTTGTGTGACCCACCGATAGTTGTTTCGCATCTGGGTATTTGTCCGCGTGAAATTTATGTTTGTAAAACGTCCCTACAACACAGGATCATGTTATCGTAAAGTAAGGGCAATGTTTTTTTTTTTAAAAGAAAAAAAAACAAAAAAGTATCAGTTCACAAGGGCCTTACACCCCAGGCCCAGAAAACGTTTACTGTGTCCCTAAATACCTAACAGAAGACCGCCGTAAAGTGGAAGTATAATACTTTCGCGTTTCGTCTGGTGAGTGAGGTAGCCGGAGCCTAATTTTCAAAAGGTTGTCAACGCATCTTCAACCCACGGGTGTAGCGGATGTCCATGGGCGGCGGAATTCACTTAACATCAGGTGAACCGTCTGCTGGCTTGGCAACTTTTCACATAAAAAAAACCTAGGTCCACTTATCAGACATATATACATATAATAAAAATGTGATTGTTGCCTGCACATGGAAGATATTTGGGAAAAAATATTATTGGGTGCCATTATCAACGCAATAGAACACAAAACAATGATTTTTTAAATTTTTCTCTTCTTTTCTGTCCCTTTGCGCGCTAATCTCAGAAACAGCTTAACCGATTTCAGTGCGACTTTCACTAATGTATTGTACTCGTAATAAGCTTCGCTTAACGTTTGGTGTATTTAAATCGGCTTGTAAATAAAAAAGTTATATCGAGTGCGATAAAATACTATATAATAGTTACAGTTGAATTGGATAAAACTATATATTATAGTCTGTAAAATTATGATGATTGTAAATTCATATAAAGTTTAAAAAAAAAAACCGCCCAATTGCGAGTTGGCTGGCGCACGAACGGCTCCGTACCATTATCTATGAAAAGGGCAAAAAATCATGTCTGTTGTATGTGAGCCCCACTTAAATATTATTTTTTCTGTTTTATAGTATTTTTTAGTACATCTGTGAAAATTTCAACTTTCTTATTATCACGGTTCATGAGATAGAGCCTGGTGTCAGACGGCCAGGCTTAAAGCGGAGTCTTAATAATAGGGTTCTGTTTTCCGTTTGAACCCTAAAAAACAGTTTTGACTATATCACCTGTCATTTGTCATATGGCTACGGCGCCTAAAATCATAAACCATCATCTGGCAGGACGAAATGCGTTCCCAACGTTATTTCCGCCAGTGCGTGGCGGGTCTTTCTCGACCCACCAACATTGGGTAGATTAAAATGTTATAATTTTGCGAAAACGTACAATTTTATTGTACTATTATTATGACTTTGAACCCAACTTCCTGAAGTTCGATTTGCCCCAGGATCTGCTAAACACGAAATGAGCCAGAAACCAGAAAAAGCGACGGGCGCATATCGACCTGAACCGCAGTATTTTAGTAGTGGTGGGACGGCCAAAAATAAGAGCATATCCATAAAATTGAAGAGTTTGTTTGTTTGAACTCGCTAATCTCAGGGACTACTGGTCTGATTTGAGATTCATTCATTTGAGAAAATTCTTGCATTGTTAGATAGCCCATTTATTGAGAAAGACTACTTTGTAAGCACGATACAAAATATAGTACATGCGGGCGGAGCTGCGGGCGAAAAGCTAGTGACTACTTAAACCGTATACTCTAGAATATTACTAAATTGGTAGATGATATTAGATGTATTTGAAGAACTCAATAAACGTGAATAAACTCCAGGACACAAATAACTCGCTAGAGATCTATTCAACCCATGCTAAAGAAACAGTAACACTTGTTGGAATAGTTCAAAGGATTGAATACAATGAATGATGCCCCATTGTTCGCCAATACAAAATATTGTACAACATCATTTTTATAAAAATATTTCCTTTCAAGAAACGATCACAAGGGATTATGGAAACATTGTGTTCCTTTATATTTTCACTGAATATACAGCGTGTCCTTACAATCGCGACATTAAATGAACACACATATAGAGGATAATTTTTTAAAATTGTATTAAACATTTACATTCTTTAAACATCAATATTTACCGAGTTATTAAATTTTCCAAAACAAAGAATTTTAAAACATCCTTACGTATACAACTGTAACTTAAAGTTCATTTGTAAAGGTCACAAAGCATATGAATGGGTTGAATGAATTTAAAAGAGTCAAAACATACTGTTAGAAGGAGAAGCTTGTAATGCGACGTTGTGGCAACGAATGAAAAAGTCTCTGTTGTCAACTACAACTATAGAATGTTATAAATTTAATTTCTTTTTTACTTAATTAGTTTGTTTGAAAAATATTTTTTTTTAATTATAGATTTTTTTAACGCTAATATTTTTTTATGATTATTGGCAAGTAGCGTTAGACGTGTGTTCATTTATTGCCGCGGTGGTAACGACACACTGTATGATACATAAAACAAATACAAAAACTGTTAAAATGTTTATCTCCCAAGCTATTTCTAAAAGGAAAACAAAATTTGTTGTATAATATTTTAATCTTTTTTAAGAGAAAAAAATTAATTACATAAAGAAGGATACCTACGGAGTTTCTTTCGCCTGTTTCTTCTCCGCTAGAGGAACCTCATTACGAAACGGTGGTAGAAAAAAAAAATATGACTATTGATAGATGAAATGTAAGTTTCTTATGTCGATGAATAAATGAGTTTGATTTTTTTATTTTTTTTTTGGTGGCTATTCGAAAAAATAAATACAAAGCAGATTTTATAATATAACATTGGTATAATCTCCGCATAATTGCTGATTCCAATGTATATCTGTGAAAATTCTGAACAATATGGTGTAAATGTTGTTAAAATTTTATCTACGATGTTCAAAAACCTTCAAAAAACCAATTTTTATATGAATATAAAAGATTATATAGTCTAAGCAGATCAGATAGTCTAAGCAGAGAGATAATGAGAAAAAGTATTAGCCTTTCATTATTCTTTAAATTTATCTAATTTCCACTTTAATAAACTTACTGCTACTATTCCGTGATACTGATACGTGATAATATTCCAGTGAGAACGAGTTTCGTTACGTTATTCACGCAGTATGAGGTTATTGTGTTAGTTCAATGCAATATGTGCAATATAGGTTTCATAGCAAAGCAAATGTTTTCTGCCGCAATTCAATGAATAATTATAATCACGCTTATGGCTGCAAAAAAAAAGCTTTTAGTTCGAAACATGTTTTAAAAATTTAATTCTTTAGAACTCCTTTTATTCATTATATAGACGCCTCAATCATAAACGGAACAATTGTAATTTTAAACCAATAATAAATTCATTTATATGGTATTACTTTCGCACACAGAAAATTGCACGTAGAATCGTGGAACCGACACTTTGCATCTTGAGACACTAAATTCCTCTGAAGACGATAATTTATTTGAAGTGTTTTGTTTTCCACTACATTCGATACGTGAGCACGAACGCAATTTAGGTACAATATTACCTATAACTGGAGTTGAGAGAAACTTTCAAAAAGAAAATTGCTACTAACCTTACTCTATTTTCTAAATTGACGTCAAAAAAAAAAACCTATTAAATAAGAATCAATTCAACTGGCTTAGGAATATCAAGAACCTTTTTCAAGAAAAATAATTTTATAGAAAATTAAAAATGTATAGTATAGGGCAAAGCTCTATGTCGTTGCGTTTGTATCGTTATTTGACAAATTATTAAAGACATCTTTTTGAGGTTTTTAAGAGTTTCTCGTTTCATAGAATGGTCTTTTTTTAATTATAAATACCAACATAAATAGGCTGTTAATATTACAGAAGAATACGTTGTTAATCTTACAGAATTATACAGAAGTTATTTCATTACTTTTAAAGTTGAACCTTCACTTTGCTGAAAATTACTTGATTATATCCCAAAGTTGATGCAATTCAAACCAGTCATCGCCGCTACTGTAAGTAATGTTGTTCCTATTTCAAAACCTCTGAAAACTTTTCGACCTGAGGACTGGTATCACCCAGTTAGCATCTTTAACGTGGGGTTAATATTATTTGAACTATTTGTTTAATAGCGTGTACCTTCAAATTCCTCAAATGTTTTTTTTATTCAGTACTTTACAGAATCGGCTTTTCACTGGTAATGCAAACCATGTTAAAGAAATACCTGTATCACAATTAAAGTAATATCAATTTTAAATACTTAAATATGCTAAATAAATTCAAAGCTAACCTGTTAAATAAAAGCAAAGGAAATAACAATTATATCTTATACCAAAGATATCCTTAGTTTGTAATTACATTTCAAAAATGTTCATGTGTTTTTAATGCACTTACATTAAAAACGAACATAAATACGACATGATGTATTATGTGACGATTCGTGGAAGGCATACTTATGTCGAGCCTTCCACGAAATCGTATTGCACGAACGATGTTGTTAGTGCAACT